GCTCAAAAATGGCTTCAAACTTTGGGGTTGGTTAAAAAAAAAAAAAAAAAAAAAAAAAAAAAAAAAAAGAAAAAAAAAAAAAAAGTAGAAGAAATAACCAATGCTAAAAAAATAAGAATGACACACTCTTTGTTTCACTTACATATCTGCAGATCACTGCCACTTGATATAAACTATCCATGCCTCTTTAAATAAAGTATACTAAATTCTGTTTCTGTAGCTCTCAAATATAGAGGGGGCTGAATGTCAGAAACGTAAACAACTGGCACACCTTTGAGCCTATTGAATGTGGGCATTAAACTAAGCATCTCATGCATTTGTCCTGTATCCTCTTTCTCCCTGATATCAGACACAGATGGGCAAGCAGCACCACCCACCAATTCTGCATGGATAGTGTGCCCAGCAAAGTCAGACTCAATTCTCTTCAGAGGTCTCTGGGATAGGCTGCGGTCTGACTTTAGCCCCTCTGCAGCATCTACTCTCTTAAAGCAATTTCTGCTCCTGGGTTGTTTCAAAACTTTCAAATGTGCAAAACGTTAAAATACTACTACAATAAATAAACCACTTATTCTTTACCTAGAGTCAGCAGCTATTAACAGTATCTTGTCTTATATTCCATATCTCAGTGTAATTTTTTTCTTCACTATTTGAAAGCTACAAACATCATTACAAGTATCTCTAGAGAGGAAAAAAAGGGCATTCTCTTACATAACCATAAATTACACTCAAGACACTTAAGAGTTGATGCTGTATCATATAATACACAGTCTATACTAAAATTTATCAATGATCTCCAAAATATGCTTTACAGTACTCTTGTAATGTCTTACTGGGAGTTACTAGGAGAACACACACACCTCACCTGTATGCTAGAGCCAAAGCCCAGGTGCCCGCAGCACAGTACAGGCTCTCATGGACTTTGGACTTCTGATCTCCACCACATGTTTTAGTAGGAAAGAGACCTGTAGTTGGACTTTGATACATCAGCATTGTTGACTTGACTATAAAAAAGACAAAGACAAAGACAAAGAATGAATGTACAACCAGCCCATTCTCTTGGTTTCTTCATCCTATTTTTGACAGTTTTGTTGTTTCTAAACTTAGCTTTAGCATAAAACTTTCAACGATGTTAAGCCATTTCATCTCACCCTGGCCAAATGGAAATCCACACTGCACAAAGATGTCTTTATAGTTGTAAAGAAAGCGCTCAACTAATTAGAGCAATAAAACTTTGTAATTATGCTGGTTAAGGTTAATAAATGATACAAATCTTATTAAACTAACATCAGACACAGGGGAGAAAAGACTGACCAAAAAATATGACTATATATTTTTGTCAAACTCAATTAAGTAAGAAAACTTAAAGCAAATGTACAATACATGATATCATTGACTTCCTAAGTCATAAGGTCAGTTCTACTGCATTCTGAAAACTAAATGGTCTGCAATTCAGGGAGGAAGAAGGAAGACCACAAAACAGGCCAGAGCCCTGCATTTCACTGATGACTGGTGTTTACCAAGGTGTTCATTTACTTACTGAACTGTACGGTTAGGGATCTGTTTAAATTCTCAAGTAAGATCCCATTTTTATATAGCAAGACAGCAACAGGGAAATGAGTGTGGACACAGCAAGGGGCTGAAATCAGTGCTTTCCTCTGCTTGACGGAGCCCCGCACCAGGAGAGCAGATACCCTACATGACATTTTCATACTTCCTAAAGGAAACTTTATTCCTATCTAAACAGTTTTCTGTATAAACAAACACTGCTTTTCTCAAAATACACTGAATCAATGTAACCTACATTAAGATATAACAACTTTCTCTTTTTCTATCTCTTTTCAATTAAAAAATGTAAAAGCATATATTAGTTATGTATAATGGGTTCATTATGACATTTTGATGTATACAGATACTGCATTTTGATCATATTCACCATTACCTTTTCCCAACTAGCTGCCACCTATTTAATGCCTCCCTCAGTCCTTTGGTGGTCCAGTGAGTTTCATTAAAGTTGCTTACAATAGTAAAGGATGCTTATAGGAGCCTTGGCAACTTACCAGTGGATATATGAGTGAAGAAAATGTCTCTCCCTCCCCTATCAACCGAGTATAAATCGTCAGGCAAGGGTGAGTTTCCATAAGGCCCCTCTACTCCATGACGGGGTGTTATTAGGCCCAATCTTATACAGATCTTTTAAGTTCAAGAATGCAACAGTCATGTTGAGCTCAGAAGAAAGTTTTCCATACAGCTCCCTTTCTCCAGTGACATGTTAACACTTCATTGTTTTGGTTGTTGTTTATTTGTTTCTTAAGACAAGGTCTTACTATGCAGCTAATTTGGAATTCACAATCTTCCTATCTCCATTTCCTGGATGCTGAGTTCAGGTTGGGCCACCATACTCAGTATTGTTGTCTCAGACTAAACAAATCTTTCCCAGAACATTGATTGTCTTTCTCATGGTAAAGAACTGGTCCCCATAGTGAAAAAGTAAATACTGGTTGTTTCTTTTAAACCTACAATTAGTACTATTTAGATTGTTATTGCTATAAAGATAACAAAAAAGGGCAATATAAGAATGCATGTCAGAATCTTGATGGAAAATAAGCTCTAATAAAGCTTATATGAGGTTGAAACTGACAAAAAAAGAAAACCATGTTTTAGGCGATGAATAAAATTTTTTACTCCTTACCATAAGAGAACAGTAAATATCACAAGAAGCAAGGTTTCAAAAAAAAGAAAAAATAGACATTCCAATTATGATCTGATAAACAAGGATTCCATTCATATATATCTCAACACTGCTTATTCACATTGAAAAACAAGTTTGCCACATTGATCTTGGACAAACAAAACTTAAAATCAAACTAACAACTAAAACCTCCAGAGGACCTGACCTATTAATGGAACAATTATTGAGACTGCATCTTTTACTTGGTTAGTTACAAACTAACTACATATACATAAATGGTCAACTTAACACTCATATGAAACATTTGTTTATTAACAAAAAGTAAAACATACTCAAGTTCTAAAATGTATTAAGGTTGGCATGGTGGTACACACCTTTAATCCCAGCACTCAGGAGGCAGAGGCAGGTAAATCTGTCAGTTTGAAATCAGCCTGGTCTACATAAAGAGTTCTAGGACAGCCAGGAATATATAGAGATGTTGTCTCAAAATACCAAAATAAAAAAATAAAATCTATTAATACTTAGGAAAGTTAAAACAAACAAAAGATATTGGTAACATAAAATGATTCATTGGCTGTGGATTCCCTTTTACAATCCATTATAGATACACAACTGGAAAATATAGCTACTTAAGCAGTGAAACGACCCCATTTCCAAATTACAGAATAATATTTCAACATAATATCTGAAATATAACTATGGAATAGTGAATACTAATCATAGCTACTATGATTTCCTCAGGTGGTGCTTACCAATTCTGTAATAATGATCCAATTTATCCCATAGTGTTTCATTACCAGGTCTTGGAAGATTAATGCTTTTAAGAGGTTCATAAACTGAGCCTAAAAGAAAAATGAAAACTCATCAAATTAGGTAATTTTCACCCAGATAAATGATGAAAATTTCTAAACAAATGATGATGCAATAACCAACAATATAATTTCCAGTTAATTTCTGAACTGCCCTATTCATTTCTCGTAAAAAAAAATTTCAGTAAGAGAAGAGCATAGAAAAGCCCTAAATGCTGTCCTGCCCTCAAAGAAACCATTCCATCCAATAATACGGTGTGTACACCAGGCCTAACAACCCCATGCCCCAAACACTCATGGAGTGGTCAGAAGCTCAGTGATTTCTATCAGTGAGAAACAGATCTAACTCCAGACCACATGAGCTATGCTAATACTCAGTACACAATATCTGTGGAATGATCCCACTTCAAAAATCTCAACAATAAAGAGAAGGTGCACACATCCCAAAACCACCCATTCTAAGCATATTCAATTATGTTTCAGTAGCTCACACACCTTAGAGACATCTGCTCTATATTCAGCTATGTTTCATACTTGGATTTTTTCTCATGTTCTCCTGCATTACTATCTTGACTACAAGCAAAACTCACTTGTGTTTCTCAGTTATGGAAACTATTCTAAGGCATCAGCAGAGCATGCTGCTCAAAAGCTACAGAATACACAATAATCATGATGATTTGCCACAAAGTGAGTACAGAAAATTACGCACTTGACTATGCACTTTCTCAGCTACTATGCGAAAGGAAGACACCCAAACCATCAGCCATCAGACTGAGCACTAACTCCATTCTTGCTAAAAGCACTCAGAAATCATAACATCTCAGTCATAATTAACTCATCTCTAGATTCAGATAATATGTGCCATATAGTTTTAAAAAAAAGTACAAAAATTAACTTACCATTTACCAAGGTTAGATAAATCATGTTGACATAGATTAAAAAGACTTTTAAAATAAAATTAAATAATTTATTATCATAAAATTACTATGTCCAGTATGTTAATTTAAAGCCAGACTAGGGCTCAGAGATGTCTCAGCAGGTAAGAGTGCTTGCTGTTAGGCTTAACAACCTGAGTTTGATCTATGGAATAGTGGAAGGAAAAACCTATTAGCTGTCCTCTGTCCTCCACATGAGGTGGTATGGCATGCCTACCACTCCCTTTAAACAAACAAATAGAAATTTGAAATGATATGCTCTGAGTTAAGACATTTACTAAAGGGTCTTAGTAACAGTACCAACTGAAATGACTCCATAGTAAAGACCTTTGCAACCATACACTGATCACCAGAACAACTTTCCTCCAGCGACACAGGAAACAAAAGCCTAGTTATGTTCGCTGCCATAGCTGAGGATACATAGAAATGTATGGAAAGCTTGTCATTTGGGATAGAAAAATGAGACCACTGTTAATTAGTGAGGTATTAAAATTTGGGGAAATATACATTCTCAGTGAATGTTCATATACTAAGAGAGAAACAGCAGATGCAAAGGACCACAACATTTAAGCATGAATGTGTAGCCTGAAGACAGTGTTGCCTAGGGGAAAAGATTATGAACAAATAATACTTTTGTTTTTCCTTATATCTTCTCTACTAGTAAAGATAATATTTTTCATTACATGTGAAAAATAAATTATCAAAATTTGAATATATAGAGATCTGGGGAGAAGTCTCAGTTGGTAAAGTAGTTGCCACATAAACATGAGGTCCCGGCATGGGATCCGCCTGAACCCAGGTAAAAAGACAGGTGTGGCAGTGTCTGTACTTATGGAATCCCAGTGCTGGAGAGGCAGTGACAGGCAGATCTTCAGAGCTGAAGGCCACACAATCTAGCCAGATTCATGAGCTCCAAGTTCAATGAGAGAATCAGTCTCAAAAACTAAGGTGAAAAATGACCAAAGAAGACATCTGATGTCAACCTCTGGCTGTCACATGCACATGTGCATACCTGCATGCACAATGAACACACACACAAACACATACAAACAAATAGAAAACATACAGACCCACAAGAAAATGAATTTGTACTTCCATTACACTTAGGTCACGGATGTAAGTGCACATGGGTAGAAATTGAATATGCAAAACTGAAGCCAGTGGCAGATTACTTCAAAGATAGTATTGATTAATCATGGTTTCAGACTAAAATATTATTCTTTAAATGTCACTGTATTTTATACTACAGACTAAAATTACTGTTATATACTTTTCTTTACAAAAAAAAAAAGCATCAGTGAAGGGGGTTTCCATTTACTTTTTATTTCATGCAAACAAACAAAAAGAAAGGATTCTTTAAAAAAATACTTATTTAGTAAAAGGTAAAACATTTAGCAAACACAAGGTTCTCAGTTCAGCCCCTAGGGCAGTAGAGGAGGAAAAAGTGACACAGGGAACGAGGGAGAGAAAGAGAGAGAAAGAGGATAGAAGGGAGTAAGGGAAGAGAGAGGAAACGAGGGAGAAGAGGTGAGGAAGTAAAGAACAGCTGTTCAAAACAAAGCAGAAAAGTCTAATCATCTTCCTCCCTCCCTCCCTCCCTCCCTCCTTCCTTCCTTCCTTCCTTCCTTCCTAAGATTTTCATTGTATCTTCCTAATCTTCAAAGGAAGTCTGCCTGTGTTTAAGCACCCTGACACAACTAGAGTGATTTGGGAACAATTAAAAAAAAAAAAAAAACCTAGACCAGATTGACCCATAGTAAGCACTTTCTTAATTAGCCCATTGTGAGAGGTGCCTTCCCTGGGATGGTGGCCCTGGGTACTATAAAGGAAAAAAGACTGAACAAGCCATGAGGAGCAAGAGGGTAAGCAGGTGTAAAAGATTACAAATAGATCCATATCTGTCACCATGCACAAAACTCAAGTCCAAGTGGATCAAAGACCTAAACATAAATC